ATGAGCGGCAATACCGTGCCCAAGGCTTGCAGATAACTCAATCACAAATCTTCAATGACCTGGAAGCGCATCTGTTCGTAAGTACAACAGAAGCAAGTCGAGTTTCATAAATGAATCTAATGCCTTGCCCTGGGTCCTGTCGTCGTAGGCCTGGGTGATCTCCTGCCCAACTTTCCAGGACATCGCACACACTGAAAGCAGGATGGCACCCCCGATGACACTTACTCCAATGCAGCCTACTTGCCAAGAATGCAAGAAAGTGAGAAGCGAAGCATCTTCGGGAACCCCGACATGAGTCCCCGACATGAGTCGCTATTGTCCATGCCCAAGAGGGATGACAAAATGGGCGTGGAGCCAGGCCACTTCACGTGTCCTCATTCGTGGTGGTGTTGGTGGCAATCAGGTAGCAATGGAAGCACACGAGGTTGCTCAAAGGAAAGAGCACACAGCCTGCGCAGCCCAAAAACGGACATCGTAAGACAGTCAGTCCCAAACTTGAGAGAACTTGCGGTTGCAAGTGCTGGTATGGAATTTATATCTGTGAATTGTGAACCATGCTTGTCTCGTGATAGCCCTGTACATCACCAATCCGGACATGGGAAACTGCAAAGGCATGAAATCAAACAGTTGCTGGCTACCACAGTTCACATCTCATTCATAAACGAGTTGTGCTGTGCGATAAAGGAGGTCCACACTTCCGAGTTTCCTTAGCCTCAAACAGGGCAGCACATGAACCGTGACAAGCCATGTTTGACTTGCTGGATCATACTAGCGGATGATGTCAACTTTCAGAGGCACTTCAGGGAGCATCACTCTCACCTGGTGAGACATCTTGTTGTGTATGTGCGTCTTTGTGAATCAACGTGACTTCTGGAATCTGACCGAAACCTGTCACCAAACCTGCACAACCAAAAAGGCGGCCGAAGAAGAGCACTGGAGCTGCAACTGAACGTTTTGCACCTGCTGGAAGCAGGACATGTGCTTTTTCTTGCTAAAACTTGCGCTATATGAGCTTCTCAGCAAGGTGACTCTGAAACAATGCAATCCGAGACAAGCAGACTTCCCTATAATATAACAGTCGAATGGCCAGCACAATTTAGCAAGCGTCAAGCTCAAGCAAGCTGTCTTGGACAGCTTCGCATGCAATCCTACTACATAGGGTGGCGTGCCAAGTCGTCGGGAGGAAAGAGCTGATCTTCTGTCAAAGACACTTCTCCAAAAAAGCACAGCTAACATATTCTCAAACTCTTCCGCCTCGCTGCAACGGACTTGAACAATGCCATGCGTGGTGACACGAGACTCTCCGGGCATGGGCAAAACCCATCTTGCTCCTGGATTTTGTTCTGCCTTTGCCAGCGCCAGAAGCACCCGCAGTTCGGGTGCTCTCAGGTCTGAAGCCGAGCCTTGGAATGCCAAGGCAAAGTGCACCAGACCCTCTGGAGGGATGCAAATTCCTCATACTCTTGGGATTTGGTGCGTTGCCCTATTGACATCTGACGATGACGGCGACTCTTTCCCACTTCTGCAAGCATTGTCAAGAATATGGTAGAGTTGACCAGTAGGCAGTCCCTTTGAAGGAAGCCGAAACACCGTGCAACTGTTTCTCCAAAGGTTGCGCAAGCATCAAATGTTGCAGCCTCCTGGCAAACCAGAGCTTTCCAAGGCTCCCTGCTACCCTTGCAACGCCTTTTCTTCCACATCCGCGTGGAAATCGTTGAGGAACTTCGTGAGGATCTGCAGCATCGTGTGATTGCCAGTGATTGCATGGTCTGCTACTGTTGCGAGAGTCTCATCAGAATAGTGGTTGTCTGGCACATAACGTGGCCTAATAATGCCTAACATAAACGCACACATTCTGGAGGTCGCGCGAGCCCTGTTGACCAAGACCGCCCTAGCGTGGTCATTCAGCTGCTACGGCAGCAAGCTTCAGCAAGCGCTTGCAGACTGTCGGCCAGCCTCCACCACTGGATCTTGGTGGCCAATACGAGCCTCGTGCTCCTTATCTGCGTCCTGCAAAGGCCGCCGTAAAACGTGAAACATGTTAAGCCAAGCCGGGTTCATCAAAGCTGCGCACTGGAAGCAACTAGCGGAACATCCACAGCCTGCACGGCTCTGGCCCGGCCTCATGCAGGCCTGCCACGCAGTTGTCACAGACCTCTGCCACTGACGTGTGCCTGGCTTCGGTTGGGTCCTCTGAACTGACGTTGTCGTTAGTCAATTCTCAAGGCTCCGCATCTTCCGAACCAAATGATCGTTGCACTGGCTACAAGGCCTTGTGGCTCCTCCTTAGAGCTCAACTCTTCTTGCGTTGCTGTTAGGGCCCGGGACACCAGAACACCAGGCGTGAAAGTCCTAGTTCATTCCCTGCACCAAAATCCCAAGGCTCGTCACCCGGTTCCAGACCCTTGCGCCTCTTCTCCAAGCGGCTCGCCTCTCTCATCCACTCCTAGCGCGCAGTGGAGAGCGTGAAGCCATCAGAAAAAGCCTCCTACACAAATGCAACAATGATCCTAGCAAAAAGCACCACGAGAAAACACCAATCCAATCTTCATCAATGCACATTGGATTTCGTCACCTTTTGCTAGCTTGCAGCAACTCTGCACCATTGTCCAGGGAAAATATGGCACCACATTGCACTGTGCTGAATACAGGAAGCGTTCTCTCAATTCCTTTTCAGGTATTCTAGTATTTATTCTCCAAAGATAATCACGCCAATCCATTATATTATATGATACTAATACGTCTGTATACATTTTACCAGTACTACCCGTAATTGCTAATTACTAATTACAAAGATTGGCAAACACCGATGCTTGAAGGTGCAAAGAAAGCAAGATTGCCCTTTCTCACCTGGATGAGCGCAAAAGCAGCCTTTTCCAGGACTAAGTTAACTAAGTTTGAAGAGAAACAGCTTGCCGAAGGTTCCGCCTTGATTTTGTTGACGGAGACTACCGCACGGCCAACACACGTACCGCACCTCTTCGTTGTGCTCTTGCCGCTGCTCTCGCGCTGCGATCTCCACGTCGAGGGATTTTTCTAAAGCGTCTGCGGCCTGCACTGGAATCTCCCGCGACGGCGGCTGCTGATAGGTTTCTCTTGAGAACCACAAACTTGTGAATAATAAATCGTGTTTTGCCCGCCGGGTCGCCACCAAAGGAGGCTTGGGGTTCAAACCAAATCCAGGCCTGTTCCATGGACAGCTGGATTTCAGCAGCCCGTGCCTGCGTGGGGAGCTCCGTCGAAAGATTAGCATCGCGTTGCATCTATTGCCATTCGCAACCTCTGGTTGAGAAGAGACAACATTAAACTATGGCTGCGCCCTTTAATCCGATGTTGCAGTTTGTGTGTGTGTGCTTATTAAAACACTCTGGCTCTCAACCAAGCTCTGGGCTGCAAGCACAAATAACAAAAGCATAGTAGGCACCATGAGATTCTGGATTGGTAGCAGGTTTCCTCAATAGCTTCGGAGCAAGCTGTTCAGTAAATTACACTTGCTGAGGCATGCTTCAGTAGCCTCTGCGACCGCTACAGGAGGTTGTCTGCAGAAGAAGGTGCTGACGTATGGAGATCAATATTTCATGCTTCTGGCAAGCATTTCATTCATGGATAGAACACATTGCCACTGCAAAAGGTTCGGAAGGTCACAACACATCGTACTTCATCTGCCGCTCCCCACCAACAAGTTCTTACCTGTTCCTAGAAAAGCAACTAAAAATGCAACATATCTGCAGACACTTCACCACTCTGCAACAACTACAGCTGCAAGCTCCGCGCGTTTGCGTTGTCTCTTGCATGCGTTTGAGTCTCCTCTTGCTTGGAGTGTTCCAAATCAAGGTTTGCTGTGACGCCTTACCTCGGTTGCTTTCTGCAACCCTGCTAAAAGCTTAACTTTTAGTGATTTAATGAAAAACCCACTAGTTGGCAAAAAGTTAAAGTCCTAATATCCAAGCAAAATGCACCAAAGTTACGCACAACTCTTGGCAAGAGTGAGATGTGGGCAACTTGTCCCAGCTCATTAACATCAGCGCCTCGTTCATTTGCGAGACAGCTTGAGATTGGTAGCTTCTCAGAAGCAACCAAGGACCTGCACTTGCGGAGACCGTCCTCCGCCTGCTTCTACCCCTGCAGCTCAGACTCTCATCTCTTGCCTGCAGCGGAAGAGCACAAGCTCGAAACCATCCTTCACTGGGACCCTTCAGGGATATGTGAAGTCACGCCACACAAAAATCAGAAAGTCCATTTGACATCTGCCACTCCACGATGTCAAACTCGCGCTGCGCTCCTTTTGTCGCTGTAGATGTGACGCCTCGAACCGAGTGCGAAATCAACGTGTGACACCTCCAGCCAGCGAGTTTACCTTGATATTGTTCAGCACCACGCAGCTCACATGGGCGTGCAACAAGGTGTGGCTCTTGGCAGCGGCTGAGCTTTGGAAGCCACACAAATGCATCAGACCTTTCGGTCAGAGACCGCTCCGGGTTAAAACACGCTTCCGAGCTTGTCCGGAACCCGCAAAACAGTTGCGCGCGCCGGATATTTTCGGCACTCGCGCCAGCCAGTGCGATCAGAAGCAAAACAGTAAACAAGAATTGCCTTGACTTGCAGAATGTAATGCGCAGGCAAGCGCAGTTGGCAGTTGCTTCAAGGAACACCCCACGAAAACATCAAGTACCCTGTTGCACTTGCCAACCTGATCCCACTTGCTGTGGTAGATGTCACTCTGAAACATCACGCTTCCCAAGCCATATCCACCAGCTCTCCGATGGGTCCCGTCAAGCTTTGCTTGAAGGATTCCCCATCTGAGCACCTTCAAAATGCAGGCATACCTCGACAGGCTTTTGCCGTGTCCTGACAATTCAACATGACGCCTGCAGCAGTTTCGCCATTCAATATATGCTTGCACCATTGGAGCATTTGGAACATAGCAGCACCGCCACTTTTCGAAACGGAGGTCTGCTTACCGGGTTAGATATTTTGGTCCCAATCCAAATACAGCATGATTGCGTGCCTTCTGTGCCCTGGACAATGCAAGCAGCTATTCAGATCGGCGATCCAACCCTTGCTTGCTCCGATGTCCACTGTGCCAGTTACCCGTGAAACACGTGCTGTGGGCTCACAAGTCTGCAACATTTTGAACACCCTGCGGCTTGATCATCGGCCTTGGCGCGAGTCTGATATGTCCTTTCGCCGACTTCAGAATTAAGCGACTACGAACAGCTGTTTAGCCTGGCTCGGTGTGAACAGCCCCGCTGATTCGTGGGACCGGGGAGGGGGTGCAGGGTTCGACTTCGACTTGCCAACACCTAGTTTAGCATTGCCAATTCTACTTGCAGTATAGCCAAGACTTACTTTCAGAATCCCAGTACACTGCCAGTTGCAAATCTATTGTTGCCAAGACTTACTCTCAGATTCCCAATACTTGATTTACAATTGCCAAGTCAAAATTTAGTCTTGCCACTTCTAAATCTAGCATTGCCAAGACATACTCCACTTCTAATCTAGTATTGCCAAGACATGATGTCAAATTCCCAGTACTTCAACTAGTATTGCCAATTCTATGTAGTAGCCTTTCTCGGATTCCCACATCTCAAATAAACCGTCAAAGTAATTGCTTAGGCGTTGATCTTGGAACTTTATATCTGCCTCAAAAACAAGCTTGACATTGAAGCGACCCTCGAAACAGTCAGATTAAAGCGGATCAGGGGCTCTTGTGGAGTAACCCTTTCGTTTGACTGTTTGCTTTTGTTTTTTGATAAGCCAAGTGCCAATTATATAAACATTGATGGATTGGGGACCATGTCAAAACAGGAATTTCTAGATCTAAGGCCTTTAGCTGGGAAGGGCTTAGATAAGCTGGCACTTCAAAAGGCTAAGGCTTTGATCTTGTATTGACGTTGTTTTGCCTAGATTTTCTTTCAGGAGCAACAAACCATGGCCTTGCGACCCTCGAAACAGTCAACTGATTCTGAATCAGAAACCGGCACTTTCTACAATAGCGGCCCTAGATCTTAAAGCGGGCCCGACATTAATGCAATGTCTAATTAACTATGAGCTCCTCGTGAAACAACTCCTTGTCAAGCTACCTTCCAGGATATGTGATCGCAAATAAGCATGACTGGGCTCACTTGCCATGTCTCTTCCTTCGACTGCAAAAAGCCGTTGGACTGAACACAAACGCGGCCGATTCCGTACAGTCACTCCTTGCGACGGTGTCAACAGTCAAGGCAGCCAGAATCGGCGGAACCAAAAACACAAACGAATAGCTATCAGCACACGGGACTGTGACGGGTGTCACAATCTAGATTGTACGCTCCACCCTCCAGTTCATCTTCCCACAGGCCAGGCGGCTTCTCCTTTGGCAGCGGGTTCTTCCTGAACGTCCAGCCCATGACCATGCCGTGTGCGCGCAAGCGTGTGCATGCAAGCCTGCGTGTGCCAGCGTGAGCGTGCGTGTGTGAAGCGCACGTGTGTAGGAGTGTGTGTGTGTGTGTGGGAGAGAGAGAGAGAGAGAGAGAGAGACAGTGTGTAAGTCTGAGCGTGTCAGCGTGTGCGTGCAAGCATGCCTTCCATGCAAACATGCGCGTGCGACAGTGTGCGGATAATTAAGCATGTCCTTGCAAGCATGTGCGTGCAAGCATGAGCGTGTGCGTGCGACTGTGCGCGTACAACTGTGTGCGTGCAAGCGCGGGCGGGCAACGTTGCGAAACTGCGCGCTCGGTGCACGTGTGCGCCCGCGCACACACCCCTGCGGGCGGGCGTGCGGGCGTGCGAGCGTGCGTGCCTGAGTGCGGGCGGCCAGGCATGCGTGCGTCTGTGTCTGTGTCTGTTTTCTCTGTGTGTGTGTATGTTTGTGTGTGTGTGTTTTGTGTGCGTGTGTGTTTGTGTGTGTGTGGTGTGTGTGCGTGAGTGTGCTTCTGTGCCTGCGTGTGCGTGTGTCTGCGTGGGTGTGTGGGTGTGCCTGCATGTGCGTGTTTGTGCGTGTCTGTGTCTGCGTGTGCGTGTGTCTGTGTGTGTGTGTGTCTCTGTCTCTGTCTGTGTCTGTGTCTGTGTCTGTGTCTGTGTCTGTGTCTGTGTCTGTGTCTGTGTCTGTGTCTGTCTGTGTGCGTGCGTGCGTGTGTGTGCGTGTGTGGGTGCGTGCGTGCTTGCGTGAGTGGGTGTGTGTGTGTGTGCGCGTGCGCGTGCGCGTGCGAGTGAGTGTGCGTGTGCGTGTGCGTGCGCGCGCGCGCGGCGCGTTTTGCGTGCGCGCGCGCACTTGCGCGTGCGCGTGGGCGTGTGCGTGCGCGTGTGTGCGTGCGTGCTGCGTGCGCGCACGTGCGTGCGTGAATTCGTGGGTGCGTACGTGGGTGCGTGGGTGCGTGGGTGCAGGGGTGCGCGGGTGCGCGGGTGTGCGTGTGCGTGTGTGTGTGTGTGTGCGTGTGTGCGTGTGTCTGTGTGTCTGTGTGTCTGTGTGTCTGTGTGCCTGTGTGCCTGTGTGCCCGTGTGTCTGTGTGTCTGTGTGTCTGCGTGTCTGTCTTTGTGTGTGTTGGTGCGTGCGTGCGTGCGTGCGTGCGCGTGTGCGTGTGCGTGTGTCTGTGTGTGTGTCTGTGTGTCTGTGTGTCTGTCTGTGTCTGTCTGTGTGCGGGCGTGCGTGTGTGTGTGTGTGTGCGCGCACGTGCGCACGTGCGCACGTGCGTGCGTGCGTGCGTGGGTGCGTGCGTGCGTGCGGCGGTTGTGTGTGGGGTGTGTGTGTGTGTTGTGTGTGTGTGTTGCGTGTGTGTTGTTGTGTTGTGTTGTGTTGTGTTGCGTTGTGTTGCGTTGCGCTGCGTTGTGTTGTGTTGTGTTATGTTGTGTGGTGCGGTGTTGTGTTGTGTTGCGTGCGGGTGCGGGTGCGGGCGCGGGCGCGGGCGCGGGCGCGGGCGCGGGCGCGGGTGCGGGTGCGGGCGCGGGTGCGCGCATGCGTGCGTGCGTGCGTGCGTGCGTGCGTGTGTGCGTGTGTGCGTGTGTGCGTGTGTGCGTGTGTGCGTGTGTGCGTGTGTGCGTGCGTGCATGCGTGCGTGCGCGTGTGTGTGCGTGTGTGTGTGGGCGTGTGTGCGCGTGTGTCCGCGCGCGTGCGCGCGTGTGTGCGTGGGTGTGTGTGTGTGTGTGTGCGTGTGTGTGCGCGTGTGTGCGCGTGTGTGCGCATGTGTGTGCGTGCGTGTGCATATGTGTGTGTGTGTGTGCGTGTGTGCGCGTGTGTGTCTGCGTGTGTGTGTGTGTGTGTGTGTGTGTGTGTGTGTGTGTGTGTGTGTGTGTGTGTGTGTGTGTGTGTGTGTGTGTGTGTGTGTGTGCGTGTCTGTGCGTGTGTGCGCGTGTGTGCGCGTGTGCGCGCGCGTGCGCGCGTGTGCGCGCGTGTGTGCGTGTGTGCGTGCGTGCGTGCGCGTGCGGGCGTGCGGGCGTGCGTAAGTGCGTGCGTGTGCGTGCGTGCGTGCGTGTGCGTGCGCGGGCGTGCGTGCGGGCGTGCGTGCGTGCGTGGGGCGTGCGTGCGTGCGTGGGGCGGGTGTGGGTGTGGGCGTACGTGGTCGTGTGTGGGAGGCGGTGTGTTTGTGTGGTTGAGTGTTTGTGCTTGTGCAAATTGCGCTTTTGTGCTTGTATGCGTTTGCGCGCGTGCTTTGTTGTGATTGTATTTGTGTGGTGTTTGCGCGTTTATCGTCCTACTTGTGTTTGTGGCATTTCGTGCGTTTGTGTTTGCGCGCGCGTCGAAAGGGGAAGACAGTTCAACCCATGGCCACAATCTATGGCTTCTGGCCAGGGTTCTTCCCGCTTCCTCTGGGGGTCTTGCTCGTTTTGAGCCACGCCACGTGTCTCCCCCTGAGCCCGCCTCAGCTCGATTTCCTCGGCCGTGGGTACAAACGGCTTGTGGCACAGGGCCGCCATGCCGCCACCGAGGCACGGCCCCAGAAACCTGGGCAGAGGGTCAGACTCCAAAGAGCCCAATCGAAAGGTCCAAATTTGGTCTGAGGTTCTCTGAGGTTTCTGTGGGGTTGGACAAGAGTGCCACGGGAAGGAAGAAATCTTTGTGCACCGCCTTAGGGTGTGAACCACGCAAAGGTCATAGGGCGCAAATCCCTTGAACCCCTTGCCCCTAGTTGAACAGTGACGCATGAGGGTGGCGCAGGAGTTCTTGTTAATTGCACGATTGACGAGATTGCCCTCATTTCCGTGGCGGATTTCTTCCATCACAGTAGTGTATACATGGAGATCTTGTTTGTTGTCGGGCGGCCAAAACCTCGTTCACAATGGAATCCAGCAAGCTCATTGTAGTGTTCCCTTTGCTGTAGTTTTGCTGCATGAGTACAATCAAACTCCATAGCCAAGACTATCTGGTTAAGGATTTGTTCTTTGTATCCTTCAAGGAGTGTCTTGCATCGGCTGAACGTGATCTCCAGTTTCCGCTCCCTGGCCATGCGCCATAGGCAATGCTCGTGCTATGGCTTTGCAAGGCCGCATGCAAGGACAACTAGAACGCCCGTCCATGCTGGAGCAATCTCTATGCCGTTTGCAGCATGCGCTGCACCCGTCCGAAGGATGCCTTACTTTCAAGGCTCAAACAGTGCCGAAATCTTCCGCACATGGCTCCAGGATGTGTTGCTCTAGCGCCAACGCAGCAATGTTCCAGCGGCCTCCTTTGACCAAATTGCATGCAAGTAGCATGATCCAAAGTGCATCGACGCCTCCATCCGTGTAGTTGTCGCAGCCTAGTTGTCACGCTGAGCGATCCCAAACGAGCTGACACAGCACCGTATCTTTCAAACACTCGATGATCTCAACATGTTCAAATAACTCTATAGAAGCAACCCCATTTGTCGTTTCAGGTTTTTTCTGACTCTCGCTGGTCACACCTCTCAATCTGTTGGAACGCTTGCAGATCGCAAAATCATGTCAAATCAGATCCCTACGAGGCTCTTGAAGACCTTGCGAGGCTTTTGAAAACGCTTCCAGACCACGCGGAACTGCCACATGGTGCGAAGATCTTGCAAAGCTGTTTGGGGCCTGCATAGACTTCAAACCCATCTTGGTGAGTCAAACATGCCCAGCCTCGCATGGCAGCAACCACGGCAGGGCCAAAGGAGCGCGCAGGGTTGATGGAGCAGCCCGTCACCTTGGTTAGAGCATTCCACCAAACAGCGCAAGCGTCCGAGTCAAATGGCAAGGCGTTGCAGCTGAAGGCTGCAAGTTTCATGTGCATTTGGGACAAGTTGGGACAAGTTGGGCCCTTGAACAGTGGCAAACGCAGCCAAACTGCAGACACAACTGGTGGCCTCAGAGTCGTCAAGAGGATGTAACGAATTGTTGTCTGTGGGGAAGTCGTCTTGCGGATGTCAGGTGCCAAGTTCTTCCAAGCAATGCTGAATAATTGTCTAGAAACTGGTAGCTTGACCAACCAAGATGCTAATTACTGCCAGTGGTTTTCGCCTGAGCCTCGTGGCTCTAAGTAGGGATGCTGAATTTCTCTTCATTCCAGGGCCTCAAAGCAGTGTTCAAGCCACACTGAAAAAAGAACAGCAGGTTTGCGACAACGCTTGGTCCCTCCGAAGCAGCAGAGGAAAGCCCTTGAATTCATGTTACTACACATTTGCCGAACTTCTGCCACAGGACGTTTTGAACTTGACAAACGACATCCTGGCCTTGCAGGGTCGATCGAGAAGGCACAAAGAGCCCATCAAAATATGTCCTCAACATGCAGGCGGCCATTGGGTTTCTGATTGCTCCGCGCTGGCATGGCCAAACCAAAGCTTCAGGTCAGGCGCGGGCAGCAAGGTGAGAACGGACACGAAAACCGCGCCCGCAATCCTTGGATCTTACGCGACAAAGTCGCACTGCCATAGAGAGAGAGAGAGAAACAAAAAAAACAAGACTGAACTACACAAATCTAAGTCCACCATTGTCACGCAATGCAATCTGAATCCAAACTGACACGCGGAAGTGGCTGAGCGCCACCCCAGCATGCTTCTTCATCAAAGGACAGCTGCGGTCATGGGATGTGCCGCCCTTCCATGCAATGGATCTGAATTTGGCCAAGCGGCGCAATGCAGGCATTCTTACCACAGCTGCTGATGGGCGTAACTGCGTTCTCCCACACTGTAAAGCACAGCATGAAGGTGCCCATCGCTTCCTCAGCATCTCGGATGCAGAACAATGCTACGTTCACGTGGAGTCGGGCGGAAAAGCCCTGGACTGATGTATGCAGTGTGGTGTGCAGGCAAATATTTCTGCAATGCCATTGGCTTGCCACAACGGTTCAGCATGCAACCCATGTCAAACGGAAACACCGTAGCAATTTTATGCTGGGTGGGATGCACAGGTCAGGTAGGCTGCGCACAATAGGACTCACACAAAATACGGCAGCGCGTTTGACTGGCTAACGCACGTACACACAGAATACTATATATAATATGTATTATTATTATCATATAATTTACATCTCTGTTGGAACAAACACCTGTGTTTGCCAAGAGGCTGCAATGAGAGCCTGGCTGTTGCTGTAGCCTGTCAAGCAACCCAAGCGAGCTCAATGAATCAGGACTCTCTGATAGTCTCTGCAGCTCGCTTTTGTCTGGTGACTGGTAGACTTCCATTCCATGATGCCACATGTTCAAACACCCGAAAGGATAACTGATCAAACAACCACAGCGTACAAATACACACAAAGAAAAGGCAAGGCATCCGTGGCTTCCCAAATGTCTGGCCCCCATCCCTGGCCGCGGCCTGGTGCGGGCATGTTGGAGGCCAGGTTGGTGGTAAGGTCCATTTCGCAGGGGTAGATGGCCTGGGTGATCATGCCCAGATCGCATCAGGGAGGTGGGATTTGTTTGAGCAGACTGGTCCGGCCTGTGGATGCCTGTTGCACTTCCCCCCACCCTTGCTGAATTCGTATGCTGGAGGGATCCAACTCCGCCAAGGCACGCAAAGCAGGCCAGCGGCCAACAAACTGCCAACGATCTGCGCCACAAAATTCACCACGCCCTGGTACCACGGTACAGCCCCGCCAATGGCCAGCCTCGGGCAGCTCCGGACATGAAATTGCAGTCTTTTGCGTGGCTGAACGCCACCCAGCCGCCAACTGAAGCAGGCAATGGCTAGAGAGATTCCGCAGGCTTCTTCTTCATAGCTGGCAGATTCCAATCTAGCCAAAGGTGGATTGCTACATCCTAATCACGTCATGTTGGCACAGAACAACCCCTGTGGCTTGCGCTGATTGCCGATCCCAGTCACGACAGCGTCACTGCAGGGTTCAGCTGACCCCCAGAATGATGGCCAACAGAATAGGCAATGGCCTGGCAGAATTGCTAAAAGGCACAACCTGGAATCTCTCAACTTTTTGAACTTTGTCAGGGATCCCGTATGCAAGTATTCGTTTTTTATTTGCTTCACTCAAGCATGAATTGTGGAAACCCGAGGGCAGGCCATCATGTGTGCTGTGTGCTGTGTGCCACTGTCAAAGATGTCTGCGTGGGACACGCTCGTGGCTCGAAGTGTTCGCACTGGTCTGATGGCCATCCCCACTTGACCCGAGCAATCGGGCGTTTTGATCATGACACTTGTATTCAACTGGCTGCTGTGACAGGGGAGATGCTGTGACACCTGGGGAGATTAGGCACTGACAGTTGCCCGCTTGAGCCTTCACTGACCCAAAAGTGTTGGGAATCCAAAAGGAGCAAACCATCATTTCTGAAGGGTTGTCACACGCAGGCCCAAGCACAACGTGTTGTGCAATCTGCCATCCATGAGCCGTGAGCGCAACATGTAGCAACCATGCGGACGTGCGAAATGTGGTCCTGCAGTAGCTAATTGCTGTCTGTATGGCAGCAACTTTGACATTCTTTCAGCAGACATCTCAAGAGCCGAAGCCATTAATCGGCTTCCCAAAACATCACTGACACATACTACTTGCATTGTCCACACGCTCGCGAACGCGTCCGAAGCTGACGGCCGCCCAGGACCCTTCCCCCCCCAGCGGCCATCACGGAGAGACCAAAGGCGAAGGCCACTACGAGACGCGTCGGGCCATCTGAGGGGCCATACATCATGGCAGCGCCTCAAATCGCGCCGCGTGAGCGAAGGTCGGGGGATCAACAGAAAAACTACTAGTGCTTATAAACTGCGAAGTTATTAGCAAATTACATAGTTGAATGGTTGGGTGTCCCACCTCATTCTCCAACCCTGCACCCCGTTGGACTCATTGACCTCGCTTTCCAACATGGCATGTGTTGTCGATCTGTCATGGCCCTGCCTCGTTTAACACCTTTTCTACCTCGTTCAGCCTGAATTCAGTACGTTACCTTTTTTGTTTTGTAGTAGTCTTCTTGTCAAAGGGCATCCTTCACTGGGGGAAGTCGTCTGTTTGTAAGCGGAAACAGGGACACTAGCACTATCAGTTCACGGTCCGGGGTCCTGCTCTACAGCCTGAGAAGGTCAACAATGAAATTATGACCCTTGACCATTGGCAATGCAGCTCACCGTGCTTCTCCCTCCATGTTAGCTTCAGGTTCAATGGAGTGAGATGATAATGCTGCAAGTTACACAAACAATAAGTTGCTTCAGCTTGAGGTTCATGCGGTACAATGCGCTCCTCCGATCGGCACCCAGTGACATGCCAACGCGTTGTGAATCTCCAAAATGCATAGTCTTCAAACCAGATTCAGAAGTGTTGTTTTGCAATGCAAGGACTGCTCCCTTTGCTATCCTCCTGACTATCTGACGAGCGGATCATTAACTTAGATTGCGCCCCACTAGGCGTGCTGCTACTGCTGCTGCAGCAGACAGTTGCTTGTTTCCATGTCACTGGCAAGACTTGCTGCAATAAAGAAACCGCCTACCGACTGCAACAAAAGACCTTCCGAAACAACCATTGAAAGCCTCGCCAGCAGTTGGGCCAATGTAACTCTGTTTCAAGGAAACTTTCTGCTGAAGGCTCCGCAGCCGACCACGCAGAGCAACATGGTACCCAGGAGCTCCGCCACAAAGGCCTGACTGCCCGCCCAACGGCTGGGCTCGACGTTTAGGAAAGGGCTGTGGGCCGGTCCACCGGAGGCTTGGTTGATCAGGTCAATCATGGTGAATCAAAAAGCTTGTCCATGATCATAGCCTACCTGTTGTTGATGCGTTCCCCTTTTCGCTTCACAGTGATGTTCAACAGTTCTAGGGATGGAATGTGCCTTTGCACAACAGAGAGGCATGTTGTCCAACCAGGTTGAGAAGTGGCCTTTGCTAATCGTTGCCTAGTGACGCTTCTGTCTTGCTGTGCACTAATGTCACCGAGTGATTAGTACCCCCCCCCGTTTAAAGGTTTCCCAATTTACCTCCGAGATTCCCACCAATACTAAATTAAAGGGCCAACAAGGTTTGCCGAAAAAACCCTGCCCCATATTTGTTCGGGAACCCCTCTAATGAAAGGTATCCCCCTACAGCCCACAAGCCCAAAAAAAACTGCCAGGAAAGGAGCTTTCCTCTTCGCCTAGTATTTGCTTGGTCTGTGCTTAAACCCACCAATACTAAGTCACTATTGAAACCCTCACGTTTTCCACAAAAATGTGCTTCTCCCAAAATGCATTGTTCTTTATTAACTTTGTTTAAAATGACAAGGGTTTCAAGCTCACCAAGGGGACCCCTCTCAGAGGCAAGCCAGCCCCCCCCCCCCCTCATCAACAGAAAACCCCCTGCGATTAATCAGGGCCCTTTTGGGTTCAAAACCAAAAATACTGATGTTGCCTTTTAAATTCCTACTGCCCAGAAGGGGCCAGAAGAGGACAAGGACCGAAGGGACTCCAGATCAATCAGGGGGTCCTCCAAAATGTTTCAGTTTTCGGGACTTGTCCAAGCCTTGTCGACCTTGAAGGGGGGAGGGGGGGTTGCTAATCAGGCAACCAACAGCTATAGCCTATGTCTATGCTATTCCCGCGGTGCGATTCGCTTGCAGCAAAAAAGTATCTGTACCATCCAAATCAATACACATGCGCAACAGTTCAAGCATGTTCAAACCCTAAGTGGGGTGAATCACAAGTGTCATGAAAATACCAACAGCGTGCTGGATTGTTGCTACCTGCCTTCATGTCCACGATATGAAGCTTGGCTTCGTCCTTATCGAAGCCAGTGATGCTGCGCTTGATGCCCCATCGAAACTGCAGGCGTGGCCTGCGCGGCTCTGCATTGGCGATTCAAGCGACCAAATGTCGGCCCTACGACAGAACGCATACCTCCCCCCATGTTCAAACATCAGCACAATGAACTAAGCAGCAGCAAACTCAGGTTGACAACTGCTGCCAAGACTCATCTGCATCGTGGCGAAGCAAATAAATGCAGCTGGCCTGATCAGTCGAAACACTGCAAAGAATCATCCGAAAGAAAACCACAAGATTGACAAGCAATCCTGTGGCAAAAACTGAGATATGTCTGCAGATTCTGCAGGACAATGACATGCTCTCCAGGTTTTTAATAACTATTGGCAAGCCAAAGCAAACGCACCAAGTCCAGTACAATGCTGATGACCCGAAAAACATGGACAGACCTCAGCCATCCAGCAAACGTTTTGCAATGACAACCGTAATGACTGCCCAATGCGGCAGGCCTTTACGCTGAGGCTACACCTCTTCGAGGTCTTGCTTGGGCCAGGCTGCTCCGGAAAAAGAATGCCTTACTTGCAAAGCTCTTGATGATGACGATGATGATGATTATTATTATTATTATTATTATTATTAATGATGATTGTTAATGATGATGATTAATGATGATGATTAATGATTTCAAGTGCAGGAAAAGACGGAGGAGAAGGATGGGAGAAGGAGGATGCGAGGAAGAACTCCCATCGTCATTCGCGATGACAAGCGACTGCATGTTGCGCACATGCGCTTCAGCGTTCGCTGCAAATGTTTTTGGTCTGTGTTGACTATCATGCGTGTGTGGGCGGGTGTGGGCGTGGGTATATCACGCACACATGCATGAAGTATAAAGCTTCTGCGAGCTCCTCAAGCTGGATTCAGCGACAAACAGAAGATACAGAATGCAGAAAGGTGAATCCAGTGTGGGTCAACTTGCCTTGTTGTCTTCAATAACAGCAAGTTGGAAGCAGCCAGCGTGCATGCCAGCCAGCCAGCAAGCAAGCAAAAACATCACGCCACACACATGAAGCATCATGAAGCCCTTTTGACGCGAATCATGCGTGACGTTGGAAGTTATTCCAGTCAGCACGAGCAGGGGCACAATGAGGCGCAAAAAGCATTGCGATACACCGATCTCTGAATATGCTGTTAGCATCAACTGCCTCCGTCTGGTGCGTCCTGGGTCCATGCCTTTGACACGGGCGCAGCTGAATGAGACGGAAAGACGCCTTCGGCATTGCGGAGAGCATCCGGAACTAGCTCGGCCTGGAAATGGGCAGGGCTGGTGGAAGCAACTTGTGTTGGTGAACACTGCCACTGACAGTGGCGCGACTCCTCAAAAAGCGCCTCTGAAATAGAGTAAATGCCCGATGGCCCTTACACAGTTGTCAAGGCACATCTAACTGGCCCCAGAATGTTGTCATTATCGAAGTCACCCCCTAAGTGGTAGGTGAACGGGAAACAACCCCAGTTTCTGATTTTGATGCCCCCTAGAAACAGTCAATATAATGAGCCCAGTCTAGAGGCACCATGTTTATCGTCATTCAGCCATACTACCGCAGTAAGCACAGGAACGCCTCCTTTCCTGCCTTCTGCCCGCAGGACGGATAGCTCGGAGCGGGCCCGCATAACATGCGAGGCCAGGAAAGCTCTCCTTTGGGAACCGCGCAGCGTATTGCTTCCACGCGGCCTTTCCTGTGCGTGGGTCGGTTCCCACAACAGGCTCATGTTGAACACTTTGGCTCCTGGTGGCCCTGCTACACCCAAAACGTGGAACATAGAACCGATCTTGGGGGTTGGACAGGTTTAGTAGCAGGTGGATCTCCATTCAATTATAAAATTGAGTCCGCCAAACTGGGCCGTGCGGCAACTCATTGGACTAAACCAATATAGTTGACTCGGTCATTGCCCAACGGCCCAAGGTCAGGTGAAGTTAAACAACCAAAAAAGCTGCGGTGCAGGGGATGCCACTTGCAGTTGCCAGTCTCTTGCTTTGCTGTGGCAAAGTTCATCACCCAACACTGGAATCACAATTTCAGTCTGGTTTGTCATTGCGAGCTCGCCAAGACAGTCTTGCTTCAAACTCCTATGCACCCCTGCATCCTACCCCAGCATGCCTGATTTGGCTGCGTTCCTAAGAAGGGCTCCTTTGGAGTCCCTGCCGAACAGCCGACGGGCTTGTTGGCCATGGCTTTCCATGTGAGTAACCGACAAAATATGTTGTCTTCGAGCAGGGCTAAGGTAATTTGGGGCAAACCTCATATATCCGTTTTCAGGATGTTGCAGAACGCAGCACCAGCTTCAGGATGCGTATATCAAGAGATAGTTGCTGCACTGGAAGCAGTGTGGTGTGTAAAGTACACTTGGCATGTCCTGCTCGAAACTCGCAACTGTCCCGTTCGAGCGCAGTAGTAATACGCGAAGCACGCTTGCTTGAAAGCCGCAATCCTTCAGTGCAAGTTTTTACACGGAGTATATGTTCGGAGCTTTAGCTTGAATATCGCAACTGTTCCGTGAGTGTATAGTAGACCATGTAGACTTTGGTAGCGCAAAAGTGGTTACCAAGTGCACTTTCGCGAAAACGCCAGTCGAAGAACAGTGAATTTATTTTCCCGTTCAACGCAAACCAATTAGCGGTCCGCTTTCCTTGGTAATCAACAACACGTACATTTCAACCAATGGGCAAATGAAGTTGCAAGCAAATACCAAGCCAGTAACCAAACGCCTTCCAAATGACAAATGGGCTCCTGACAATGTGGGGCTACTGAGGGTATCTGTCGCAGTCTATTCATGGATAGCTTTGTATGCTGTGTCGGGTACTCATCGGGCCGCGGATTTGCAGGCCATCTTAGCCTTGGACTTTGAAAACTCTCCAGGCCATGGACATCTCAGGGAATTGCTCATAGCTCTTTCAGAGAGCCCAGTCACTGCAACTGCACTTCACGAGGCCGCAGGCCTGGCACACAGCTTCAGCAAACAAGCCTGCTGCAAGTGACCCTGTGTCGAGATGTTAAAGAACATGTCCAAGTCCAGTGTTCTCTATCAATGTGCCTCTGTTTGTGGTCCACAGTGCGGCAAATGAGACGGTATCGGTCAAAGTCTCATTCGAGCGATCTGCGACATTCAGCACTGGGTAAATACATGATTGAGTCACTCCGCAACAAAGAAACGCCGCATCCTCAATCTTGGCACAGCAGCATGTCAAACAGAGGCTACCAATGAAACATCGAAGTGAGAATCTGGGCCGGTTGACCAAATACCAACAAGGGTGGATGCGTTTCCGTCCCTGTCCAAACAGGATGTGTGCTGAGTGGATTGATACCCCTTACCAACCAAGCCCTTGCCCTTTGTTGATTGTGTGATGGAAGGGCCTGCGCTACTCAAGAACAGCCCCCACAAATTCACGGAACGCAAGTTGCAGCCAGGATGCTCTTCCTGTCCTTCTTTCCTGCAAGGCAAGTGGGAAACCAAACAACCACTGATTGCAAACGGAACTGCCAATTGTCTCAATGTCGGCGTGCTATAATTATCTCATTAGATGGAGGACAGTGTCAGCGCAAATAGCGCGCATTGCATCTGTTCAGCAGTTCTGTTCTGAGCCGTTTTGCCTTTCATTCTGATTCGAAATCCCAACTTGCATGGACCAACGGGGTTCGCAGGATACGAGTGACCACCAGACAATACCCTGCTTCCAAAGAAACATCTGTGCAACCGCTATAATTTTCCGTACTGTTCACGAACCCTTTGCGGCTCCATCTCTGTGCACTTTTGTTTACAGCAAACAAGTCTCGAAATGGTTGCGGCTCTTGACTTTGTGCTTTCCAGCGGACCCAATGAGCACTGCAGGATGTTGCCGTTTCTCGGAATTCCTCCTGCCCGGCCTCTTGCAGAGCGCGTCCGTGAGAGGATAGCGCACCGCGGCAGCTGCTACGCCGCCAAGGCAGGGTCCAACCCACCTGCGACTGATTGGTGGATCAATGAGATTTGAGGGGGATGGGAGTGGCAAGGGTGCAGGAGAGAACCCTTGGGGCTCAATCTAAATGTTGTTCTCCCAAATTGTGCATGGTTCATCGAAAGCCGTCCGCTGACTTGCGCCGAGTGGGGCAAGGAGGGTCTACTGAATGGGCGCAGCTCCATTTCAAATTAGCCAACACCTGCGGCCAAGCTGCATCATCCACATGTCCTGCAGAGCGCCCGAGGTGTAGTTCTCGCAGCCTCAGCACACATGCACACGCCGAGATAGCGAGAGTGAGGGAGAGTTCGCGATAACAAACGTTTCGGGCTACCAATGGCATGAGCTCTTGATCCTCAGCTTCCATGATTCAGATGTAGAGTTTTCCCAATTCGTGCGCATGATTGCACCCGGCCCAGCGCTCACACATTCTTTAATTGCCTAGGGACCACGGAAGGAAGCCACAATTGCCGGTCCCAACGAGCGCGCAGGATTCAGGGAGCATCCATCCACCTTAGATCGGCCAGAAGCAAGCCCCATCGTGGCAACTGCGCTGGAAAAAGTGAAGATGTGGACAAAAAGGCTCGTCCCTGCACGCTCTGCAAGCATGTCAAGCACATTGGACTGCGGCAACCGGTAGCACGCTCCAGCAAACATTCCGACATTCCAGGTAACACGCGCGTTCAAAGCCTAGGCTCTGAGATCAGCATGCAGACTGAAATCATCACAGCGCCGCCGATCCTCGGATATTGTGCTGGAGTTTGTTGTCTGCATCATGACTCAAGATTCTGCCCAACAGACTGTCAAACCAGCATCAATATTATTTGTTGCACATTTAAACTCATGCGCTGGAGATCTTGACTGTCCGGCTTTTTTCAGCAAACTTTGTGAGTTCCTGGGTCTACCTCCTGCTGGGTACTTGCAGCTCAAGCTTCGCCAAGCAAGCATTCTTTCCACAGTCCGACAAGGGATTCACCGCGGTTTCCCAGACTGTGAAGCACAGGAGGAAGGTGCCAACAGCTTCCTGAGCAGAAAAGCTCTTGTGCATCATGAACTACAGGACTGCGTGAGAGAAAAGCACTCCATGCCTACGTTTGCCGAGGAGCTCCAAAAATCACCTGAGCCTCCGTGTATCCTGCACGGCCGGCAATCTTGCAAGCACCGGATTTTGTGCGTAAACCACAAGCATATTGGATTTGTTCTTTAGGAAACGCCAAAAGGTCCCTTTTGAAACACCGTCAGAAGGGTAGCATCAAAAAGACACACCTATTTCCAGCTGCGTAGTGGAAGGCCGCCCCAAAAATGGGTGACCGACGGCATGACAACTGTTCCAAGCTTGATGGCCGCTTCTCCTGCCTGGTGCTCTCATGTTTGACGCAATGTTGGTAGTCAGGTCCTGGCAAGCCGAAGTCAGCGCAAGACGCGAAACAGGCTATGCAATCCCTGCACTCCCTGACGGCCGTCCAAAATTGCTACCTGGGGAACCGCACCTTGCATTTGCAAAGCACACCCCCTCCCCGGAAAAATGCTGCTGACCCCAATGTGTCTCAGCCGCTAACTTGCATTTCTTGACGCCCCCCATCCCATGTTTGGCAATTCAGAAGGAAACGCCAGGGGGGGTGAAGCTCTGAAATGAACAATCTTCACATAGTTGCCCGAACCAATCAATTCTGCATCCGCCTTCAACTGCCTACTGGCATAAAAACTATCTGTCGAGCAAACTTACCCAATGATCTGCACTCCGCAAGCAACCAAGCAACCGTTTGCAAAACAAAATGCAAAGAACCGTGAGCTTTCAAAGAACTCCAGATCCCATGTGCCCGAGCCCGCGAGAACCTTGCCATGTCCGGAGTGTTGGTTTTGCTTTTGGAAAACTCGAGGTTTGAAGTAGCCTGTAGGAGTGCGACTTCCTCGGGTTTGCTGCCATCCTTGCGTAGACGGGTGACCTTTGCCGGATGAGAGTTGATTTAGGCTTCTCTTATCTTGTTTTGCGCACTGCATATGCAACATAGCATAACGGCATAATATATCCTAAAAAGAACACACTCAGCTAGTTCCAGTACTACCGAAGTTCTTGCTAAATGTTCTTTGATTATGTTCTCAAAAACTAGATGTTGCATAAAGAAAGTATCACTATATAAGCGATGAACTACTTGGTGACACCTGTCTGACATACGCTCCGCTGTGTTGGCATCCCTTGGTTTAAGCACTGTGTAGACTGTGCGAGCCTTTCGAACATCATCCGGTCCTATCACAACGAAACAAGTGACGTTGCAACGCTCTCCTTGTCACAGGGCACGATACCCGCTAGGAGAGCTGCACCAATCACCTCAGGTAGTTTCAGGCATGCGGGCAATCCCTGGAACGCGAAACATCACAAAAGAAGCGCCATGGGACGCGAGGTGAATGCTCGACACACTTCAACATACGTAGCGCACATTGGGGACTTCACAGCGAGTGCGACAAATCAGAAATGGTATATTATTTTACACGGCGCTACTCGCTTGAACACCGTTTAAGTTCTTACTCATGCGTGTTCCTGCCGATGAACTATATTCATAATGGCGCTACCAAACATGATCTCCCATCCAAGCGCATTCCTCAGAAATGCGTCCATGCCTGAATGCTAACATTTTTAGCAACATACTACAATCCTGTCTACGTGACTTCCTCAAGACCGCATCTCTAGACAAAATAGTTCGCTCCCATTCCACTGCAATCCTAGGACTGCATGGATGGGCAAAACGAGTAATTATAATCTTGCTCACAGTGCACGCTGCAGTCAGCTTATTGCGGGCATTGCTGAGCCAGCGGGATTTGAACTGAAGGGACGACGCCATGCGCTGCAACAGCGAAGCCCAAGTTGTGCATGTGGGCTGCAGGATAAATCACCCAACATGCATTCAGAGAAGGGACCTCCCCAAATCCCCAAGTATATCTTTTGCCTGACCTCCTTCCTGGCCGGCCAAGCAAACTGGTTCCAGGTTGAAATTCTAGCGCGGGACATGGTAAGGATAATGTGGAGCCACCTTGCAACCCACAATCAAAAGTCCGACATTGACGCAAGAGTGCCCCAAGCACTGTGGAAGCGCCCGCGGTGATGCAATTTGCACATAGACCGTAGAAGCATGGACTACAGGCGTGATCCCTTCTCTTGATTGGCACACTCGCAGCCCTCCAGCAGACTCACAGGGTTCCTACCAGCTTGTCGTGCATTCAACTTCTTGTCCATTGCCTTGTCGAATGTGTCACCCCTTTCCCGAAATCTCTGATGTGCCTGAGGGAAACACTGATATGGGTTCTGGGGCAAACGTCGTCAACTCGCATCCCCTTTGTTCAAGGCAAGGTACTGACGGTAGATCCCCCTCCCTGACACAGAATTCAATCAAGAACAAACTTCCTTTTAGGGCCGATGTCAAACGCAGAAGACAGAAACATCAAGTATATTTGACAACTAGACACAGCACTTCGGGCATTCTGACAGGGCACGCTGCCCACTGATTGCGCTACCAAATTGACCACGCCCTGTCGCACAGGGACGGCTTGGCCGCAGACCAGCCTATGCAAGCAAACGAGGCTCTCCAAGCAAACTGGCAATCACTGGCATGCGGCATTCGAGTAACGAGCTACGCTACGTGACAATCGAGAAGCAAGACCATCTTGAATAGAAGCACCAACTTGGCTAATGTTGCTGCCATAGGGACGACAAGGTCACGGCAGGGTTCAGTTGGCCACCAGAATGATGGGCTGTAGAATAAGCATTCACCTGGGTCTGCTGCATCTGCTTCTTGACTCAGGTGATTAATCAATTGGGAATATATCATATTGAGATGGAGCTCCAAGCAAATGGACAAAAAAAACAACCATAACCTGCCTCGAGCCTCCCTCAACAAAAGTCAAAATACTGAAGCAGCAATTGAGCTTGCCTAAACCCATCAAATCAGTACGTCTGCCGCCTTCTACCTTCGCGAAGCCTGTCGTGTGACTTAGCCCTTTGTTTGCCTGCAACACGCCACGCCTTGTTTCGCAGCCACTTCAACGTGTGGCGCGAAGTTCTCTTTGGCAGCTCCAGCTTGCAAATCCCAACTTGTCTTGCAAGTGCAAAATGAAAGCAAGTGAGCAAGCATGAGTGATGGAATGTCCCAGCCGGCTCAAGATTTTGCATGGCTTCCAGTAAATGCTTCAGCGGATTTCCTTCACTGTGTTGTGAAAAACAGTGTGTTGGCATGTTGGCAACCAAGCACGTAAACATGGGCGGCACTGCGGTGCAGGCGTTGGGCTTCAAATGGACTCACAGATTCAAACGAAAAGTAAACGTGTACGATCTTCATCGCTTTACAGTGTTTTATGTGGCCGCAAGCTCTCAAAGCCCCAGCTTTTCGGCATACGCCAAGTAGGCAAAGTACACTTTGGCAGCTCCAGCTCGGAAACCACAGCTTTTCAGTATGAGTGTACGCAAAGAACGCTTTGGAAGCTCCAGCAGCTCGCAGCATCTCATCGCAACTGTTCGCAGTGCGCCAAGCACACGTTGGCAGATCCAGCTTGCAACTTGTCACTCTTGGACCACTTGTAGAATGCAAGGTACACTTTGGCAGCGCAGCTTTAAAAAACCTGCTGCTTAGAAACCGGTTCAAGGTTTGCCAACAAGTCATATCGCTGCTCACCAGCAAGACACAGTGCTTCTGCCTGCCAACAAGCTTTGGTCAACAAGGCTGCCGGCCGGCCAACGCCTGTACGGAAACCGGGTCTTGTTGAGCAAATAATTACCGACATCATGACGCGTTATGAGAGCAGCATCTCTTCCAAACATGGGTATTGCAAAAACAATCAAGGCCTCCAACGTGGTGATTGGTTCGCCGCTTCAAGGTGCTATAAGATTGAACCCACCAGCACGATAACTCACACAACTTGTTCGGGCCCGCTGTCTGCAGCTCATGATAGATTGCCAGGCGGCCATGACGCCCAAACCGAAACACATAGCGATGACAATCTTCTTGTCTGGTGTGTCGGCACCATTCAGCATTGCAGCGCCTAGCACGCCCATCCCACAACTCAGAAGCCAAGGAGCAACAATTCAAAGGAGAACTGCAGGCTCCTCTAACCTTCCTTTGGAAACAGCCGAAGCCATCTGCGCATCTGAGCAGAGGGCCACAGCCGACAAAGCACAACAAGGCGGTGCCGACCACCTCCGCCGCTGCTGCCTCTCGACACCCAAACTGTAGGTTTGCGGCTTGGCTAGTGAAAGGCTCTGAAAGCAAAAACCTGGAAGTCGGGAGTAAAGCTGTGCAACATGCAACTCCAGCTCGGGGTAGCAATAGACTTTTGCAAAGGCAACTTGCTGCAGTAACCCTCACATCTTCACACATGTCCGCTTAGAGCATCTTCCACTGGGCATGAAAATATTTGGGATGGCACTGCCCAGTGCCTTCAGGTCCACCGTCTTGCTCAGGCTCTCCTCGCCAAAGCCAGTGTCGCTTCGCTGCAAGCCCCAGTTCACCTTCACCCTAGGCGCATGAGGCGGTGAGGATTCATGAGGTCTGCCCAAACATGGAAGCGCCGCTGAAAATCTGCTTTCAAAGTTACCGTTTACCCATGTCCAGCAAGTATCTGGGCGAGTGATAATGTGATTTTATCAGTGTTCTGCCCTGCTTTGACTGGGCGCATGTAAATGAAACGTGGCCAGCCAACTGGCCCCAAGGCCGCAAGGTCTTGACTCTGCCCTCTGAGAAAGTGCAGCCAAGAGGCTTGCTGGGAATCGATTGTGCCTGTCCGGGCAGGTACAAAATAACAACGGTCGGCATGGGTCAACTGCATGCATCCAGCTAGCTGTAGCATTTTGCGATTTCAAACAGTGCTGCAGTGCTACAATCCCACCGTCACTTTGTCCACATTCCTGTGGTCTGTGGACGATCTTTGAGCAGCTGTGACAGGGTTTCAAACATCTTACCCCGAAACGTCGCCTTACAAAGTTCATGCATGGCCTATGATGGCCTGAAGCACAAAAGGACGTGTCTGCATCTATAAAGCAGAGAACAACTGTGCAAGGTGGCCATCTGACTCTGGATGCTGCAAGTATTGTCCTTTGTTCTTGCTCCCAGACATGTCGATGTCATACAGGCCCCCATGAACTGTGCTTACGCATGGCACAGTTTGAGCCAATTACAGCCTACTCAACGTTCAATGTGCGCACCTGCGGCGCAAAAATCAGCCGTGTCATGGCTGCCAACGCGCCGCCAACCAGTGGACCAACCCACCTGAGAGGGGAAGCAGCCGGCCCGCGCCATGGGAAGCAGCCCATTGAGAAGGGCAGTGGTCAAAAAGTGGGCTCATTCAATTCCTAGGGTGGGTTGAGGCGTTGAGCAGTCATGAATCTGGTAGGCTGCCGAGTCGCCAATCGAACTCTCAGCCGGTTGAATTTGGCTGTTCATGGAAAGCTGCCCTGCAGCCAGGTGACATCATCCAAAGCGCCGCCAGACCTCCATCGGTGAAATTGCTGCAGCCTGAAAATCGCACTGAGCATGCAAGAGGCTGTGCTGTTTACCTGGCGAACGCCCTTGGATTTTCTTTTTCACAGCGGCATGGATGCAACCCACAACGGGGCAAGGCCATTTGCTATCAGAATCCGAATCAGCATTCACAAGGTGGGAGAGAATCTGAGAAAATGAGGACCCCCCTGCCCCTGCCCCCGCCCACTTCGCCACGTGCAGCCGCAGAGCCCCGGAGTTTGCTCACAATGGCTGGGCCCAAGGACCGGTTGGGGTTGATGGAGCAGCCATCCACCTGAGCCAAAGGCACCTTGAGTGCCAAGTGCCTAAAGGGGCTTCCAAAATAAAATGCAAAACCTGAATAGAGAATATTGACAGCGGACGCATCAGAACAACACAAACCACAAAATTATCCACGGTCGCTAGGGACATTCTCACACAAGTGCATCTTTAGCTGTTTGTCAACAGTGGTCATGTCAATTGAGCGACTGAGTACTGAGTATTCGCCCATCATGTCCAGGATAAGACAAGCTTGAAGAATATGTTGCTCTATCTTGCTGGCGGCATGTCACTGTCACTCATGCTTGCGCGGGCACGCGCACAAACTCGCGGCTGATTTTCCTCCATCCGGTGCCCGAATAGAAAACAATTTCTTTTGAGGAGAGCCACATGAATCAGGACGTTGATGGCCAAGAACACGGAGCATCCAATCCTTTGCTGGCAGAAGCAAGTCGGCTTCCAGTGCATTCCGCTGAACGTCCCCAGAAGAAAGAACACAGGATCTTGCATTGACCTTATCTCGGCCTTCTGGAACACAAGTGCCTAGAGCTATACTTAACACCGCTTCTCCCCGCACCCTCTTTCAACGTGGACAGTGACAAGCTTCTTCCTTCTTGCTTCTTGTGTGCTGGCACCTAGCAAATGAGCATCCGCGTGTCTAGCGTGTTTATTGACCAATTGGTACTGCCTTGCCGACCAAGCAGTTGATGCTTTCCTTACCCGACAGATATATACAAGGGTCAGCAACAGCTTGGTGTTTTCTGCTTATGGCTGTCCTGCAAGTGACATCTAAAAAACAACAAGTCAAGAGTGTTGACCTTGCAACAAAATTGATGGCTGTGAATGGTCATGAAGGATCAGGCAAACTCGTGGTTTCCCGCAATGCCATCGAAACACTGACATCATCGATCGTTGACATAGTCTTGTCTGAGTTACGGGCAGAATCGCGTACAAAGCTGCACGCATTTAGTCTCTGCGGTATCACAAGTGCAAGCGCCTCATGCGCAAACAAAGAAAACTGCAAGTACAGTATATGCATAATTATTATTGTATGCACATTATGTACACATGGCTAGGCACACATCTGCAAACAAATCCACCCTCACCATGATTCTGAAGGATAGCCATACGTGCTGGTAACACAGTGTGCTCCCAGCGATACCAGTGACCGTCCTAATGGTAGCCGAAAAAATATTATGCCGTGATAGGGAAGGCACTAGTGATTGATTTTCGTCATATGACTCACTTCCTCCTTTGCAAACCTCGACTTGCAACAGCGCCGACAGCGATCATCGTGAGTCATGCTTCAATGCTGAGTACATGGCCAGCTGCTTACATGAGTATCTGGGAGAAGCGCTGTATGAGCTTTCTAGTTCCGGGCGTTCGGTGCGTTCTGCACTCACCAGTGCGCCGTCTTGAGCGGCTTGGCATCTGCCACTACTTTCTAGGAGGATTCAAACGGCAACAAAAAACAAAGGAACAGGCAACACAACAACCTATGGGGCAAAGAAGGAGGGTGGGCAAAACGAAGGTTGACTTTTCCGCACTGCTTGTTCCTAGTTCAGATTTGAGAAGCAGGTTGGTTCTAGACTGGCGCGCCATCCCTTGCAAGCGGCGGGGCCCCGCTTGCGCTGCTCTTGCACCGCCTCCCCCAGCAAAAACTAGCAAATCTGTTAATGCTCATTGTCACGCCAGGTCCGGCGATGCCAGCTCTCTTTCGCTTGCCCTTGCACTGTCTTGCGCATGGTGCATTTTGTGCGTGCTTCTATAACAATTCAGCTTAGAACACTGCGCCCTAGACTACTCGGAGCAACACTCGAACAACTCCCAGCTGAAGCGACACACGAACTTTCGTTTGCCAAGCATCACAAGGCAGGAGTTGTTGCCGCAGCTCTTGGCGGACGACACGGCCGTCTCCCAGACCGTGAAGCAGAGCAAAAAGGTACCCACAATTTCCTGGGCATTTGTTCTTGCAACTCTTTCTGAACGGAGTTCCGCAGGTTGAAACGAAAGTTGGTGCTGGCGCGGGTGGGGGCCTTCCCAGCTTCACCTCTTGCTTCGCTCCATAAGTGAGCTTCCACCAAGGTTTGTTGGGCCCTGCCAAGGATCTGCAAGGATCACCTGCCAGTCCTCGAAGCCTGGCTGCATGCCACTCTGTGCCTTCTCGCCCCAAAACGGCCAATGCAAATCGATAGGATTGTTTGACAGGACCTGTGCAATCACCGGTCCAAACAGCGGCCCTGCGCTCTCGTCATCTCCGCTTGCCTGGTGCGGGGATGTTTGTTGCCAGCGTCGTCGTCATGTCCATCTGCAGGGCTGCACGAGCTTCTGACAAAATGTGTGCAATCCTGTGAGCAATAGCGTCGAACGATGTAAACAAGTACATCAGCGGCTCTTTGCACCTACCCCCCGCCCGCCTCGCAGGGATGGATCATGGCCAGTAAGGCGCACGCCAGGATGCTTGCGAGGCACTGGGCCAGCAGGTTGGCCAAGCCCTGGTTCCAAGACCTGGGCACACGGCAGCATAGCATCTTGCCAATCGGGACACCATCCTCGCCTTGAGTTGAAAACGGAAACATGCGCGAGCCATAATTTTGCCCGTTCCGGCTGTGCATGACTGTGCTGCTTGGCAAATCTGCCAAGTCACACTTCTCCACCCAATACCAGCCTTGGCAACGTGCGAACTGCTGCGCATGCGAAACACCAGCAGCAATCAAAACACAAAAAATGGCAGAGTGTAGGAAGGCCTATCATGTGTGTCGGGCAAGACTCGTGCCCAAATCGTGCAAAACATCATGAGGGCCCAGTGCATCTGATAGCCACAAACGGCCAAGTTGCGAAAAGGTCACAGCGCAGTTCAAGTGGCCGCCCGAGTGGTGGCCGATGGAAAACGCAATGGCCTCAATGGTCCAAGAGCGTGAAGCAAAAGATGCAACGTATTCTATCTCGTCATTTGCGTCATTGCAACTACTGGATACAATATCCGCCAATATATCTAATACAATATTTCGAACAAACTGCATCTTGTAGTCCTTTCACTAGCAATGTTGCGTTTGTAGGGCGCGCATGGGACAATCGCATATTGGCTGACACAGTGTGCCAGCACGTACGGCAGAACATCGGCAAGCCTATCAACACATCTCCGTGTAGGCCATGTATGTTTGGCATTGCAAGTAACGTGTATGTTGTTCACGGTGGACACTGCTGCTGCGTCTGCTGCTGCTGAATCATGCCGGCGGTGCTGGTGCTGGTGCTGGCGCTGCTGCTGATGGTGCTGGTGAAGGCTGCAGTTCCAATTGCGACTTCTGATTGAAGTCGTTGTCGTTGCCGCCCCCCACGCTGCAGCAACAACAGCAACCGGCGCTGCAGCAGCACCAATAACCAACAACCAACAACCAACAACCACAGCAAACAGCACACATCAAACAACAAACAACAAACCACAAACCCCAAACCCCAAGCCCGAACCCACAAACACCAAGCAACCACCACCACCACCACCACCAACAACAACAACAACAACAACAACAACGCCAACAACAACCACAGCCACAACCACAACCACAACCACAACCACACACGACGACGACGACCACCAACAACAACAACAACAACAACAACAACGCCAACAACAACCACGACGACCACGAACGACGACCACAACAACAACAACAACAACAACAACAACAACAACAACAACAACAACAACCACCACCACCACCACCACCACCACCACAACCACAACCGCAACCGCAACCACAACAGCGACCACGACGACGACAACAACCACAACCACAACCACAACAAGGACAGAACGGCTCCGGTTGCAGGTCGTCGCACGTGAGCGGGACCTCTTCTTACCATGGGTGTTTTTAGCATTAGGCTGGCATGTGTGCAGTGCTGAGCGAATGCACGTGAGCAGGTGTTCGAACCATTGCGCAGCGCCAAGCGAACGCACGTGAGCGGGTGTTCTTACCATTGGGCTGGCACGTGCGCAGCGCTAAGCCGCTAAGCGAATGTGCGACAACGGGTGTTCTTACCGCTGGGCTGGCATGTGTGCAGTGCCAAGCGAATGCACGTGAGCGAGTGTTCTTACCATTGGGCTGGCATGTGTGCAGCGCTAGGCGAGCGCACGTGACATTGGGCTGGCATGTGTGCAGCGCTAAGCAAG